ATGAGCTGCCACACCCGGCCAATCCCCCCTTTCTATAAAGCCTAAATGGTGAAATGATTGAGCAAAGGTCAAGTATGAGAACCTAGGAGGCCATGACCAGGGCTCTGGCTCCAAGTCTGGTGCTGTAGGATGGGATATTAGTTAATGGGCAAGTAAGGAGCCATGGCCACTGCCCCTCTCTAAGTACAGGTGGTAAAAACTATTATTCAATGGAGGTACACCCCTAGGAATTTAGGAAGTGAGGAAGTACAATGAACAGGGGGCTTATATCAAGTCATCTTATTCACTTGACCAGGAATCAGATATCTCTGCTGCTGTGTAAATTAAATGTGTGAAGGTTTTAAGAATTCTCAACATGTACAAACTTTTAAATAATAATTTTAAGTTAAAAAACAGATTCTGGGCAGGGCATGGTGGCTCACACCTGTAATCCCAGCAGTTTGGGAGGCCTAGGTGGGCAGATCACCTGAGGTTGGGAGTTTGAGACCAGCCTGACCAACACGGTAAAACCCTGTCTCTACTAAAAATACAAAATTAGACAGGTGTGGTGGCGCATGCCTGTAATCCTAGCTATTCAGGAGGCTGAGACAGAAGAATTGCTTGAACCCAGTAGAGGTTGCGGTGAGCCAAGATTGCGTCATTGCACTTCAGCCTAGGCAACAAGAGTGAAACTCTGTCTCCAAAAACAAATAAATAAATAAAAAGGTTCTGGCCAGGTGCAGTGGCTCACACCTGTAATCCCAGTACTTTGGAAGGCTAAGACCAACAGATTGCTTGAGTTCTGGAGTTCAAAACCAGCATGGCCAACATGGCAAAACCCCATCTCTACAAAAAATTACAAAAATTAGTTAGGCATAGTGGCATGCACCTGTGGTCCCAGCTACTCATGAGGCTGAGGTGGGAAGATTGCATGAGCCCAGGAGGTTGAGGCTGTAGTAAGCCATGATCATGCCTCTGCACTCTAGCATGGGTAACAGAGGGAGACCCGTCTCAAAAAACAAGAAACAGGTTCTGCTGCTTTCTGCCCACTGCCTTAATGAATAAAAGTTAGTAAAGAACTATCCAAGGACAGGAAACCGGGATGACAGAGGCCTGATCTTCCAAACAGGTCAGATGTGAGAGCTAAATGTTGTCTGTAATGACTGCCAAGCTGTAGTGTCAGCAGCTGAACAAGGGAGGCAATGGAACTAGCCCTCTTGTGATCTGTCAAGTGGTAACACTGGTTGGCAGCCCTCTCCCTGGGACTGATGTGTGAGGGGGAAGAGGTAAAGGAGGGCAGGCAGAGGAACTGGAATCTCCAAAAGGGACCTTGCCAGCCCTGAGGCCCAAGACCCTCCAAAGCAGCAGATCACAGGGGCAAGTCCCAGGCTTCTGGGGAGAGAAAGAAAGAAGAAGAAAAAAAACAACATTAAATAAAGGAGGTGCAGAAGTAGAACTGAATATTAGAATTATTCTCTGTCACATGCTAAAGGCACCTGTTTTCACTCCATGGGAATAAATGGCAGAGTCTCAGAGTGGGCCTGTCAAATCCTCTGAAAGACCAGCGGGCTAGGAGTCAGGAAACATGGGTTTGCTTTGGTTCCATTGTTCACTGGGCTGGGTGACTTTGCCTGAGCCATTAAATATTCCTTGGCCTGAATTTCCTTCACTGGGAATAATACCTGTCCTGTCTGCCTTGGAGGATTGTTGGAAGACCTGATGAAATATGGACATAAGGCCTGCCACAGTGGCTCATGCCTGTAATCCCAGCACTTTGGGAGGCTGAGGTGGGCAGATAGCCTGAGGTCAGGAGCTCAAGACCAGCCTGACCAACTTGGTGAAACCCCGCCTCTATTAAAAATACAAAAATTAGCTGGGCGTGGCAGTACGCATCTGTAATCCCAGCTAGTCGGGAGGCTGAGGCAGGAGAATTGTTTGAACCAGGGAGGCAGAGGTTAAAGTGAGCTGAGATCACGCCACTGCACTGCAACAAGAGGGTGACAAGAGGAAGACTTTGTCTCACACACACAAAAGAGAATTAATGAACATAACCTCCCTGCAAAATCCATAAAGCACTCTTCACATGGAAGATCATATTATTACTATTGTAGTTACTAGGATCCCTTCAGAGAGTTGGCCTGTGAGTGGAGAGTCACAGACACTGGAAAAGCCACCTCGTTCATTAGCCATCGCTCTGCACACCCCTCTTCCAAGCTGGATAGCTCTGACTAGTAGAGGGTGGGGAATGGATCAAATGTCTAAGAAGGCAAAACAAGACATCGACCTCAGTGAGACGTCCCAGGCTCACCAGCCTCTATGGATGCCATGTTCTTTCTCACATTGAATCTGTCTTTCCTTTTATTACTTATGCTTATTTCCTCCTGTTCTACTTGAAGATTTTTCTCTCTACCTGCTGAAATATTATATTGTTTTTAGTGTTTATCCACTGAAAAAACTCATTATTGAAAAACATGACCCAAAGTTACCAAAATTATCCCTGGAGTCCAGAGTCCAAGTGTAACGAATGTCAAGCATCTGTTTTTTGAAGGGGCCAAGGACAGAGTCAGCTCTTGGACCCCTTTGCTTATAAAGTTTCAATCTTTTCCCTAACCTTGTCCCAGACTCAGGTCATCTTACTCTCTGCAGAATTTTGGATCATGGGAGCGGGATGCTTGTTGGAGTCTATTTTGTGTTGCTGTAACAGAATACCACAGACTGGGTAATTTTAAAAGAATAGAAATTTATTTCTTACAGTTCTGGAGGCTGGAAATCCAATATCAAGGTGCCCTCATCTGGTGTGGCTGTTCTTGATGCATCATCCCCTAGCAGAAGGCAGGAGGGCAAAAGAGTCCATGAGAGAGCAACAGAGCAAAGGGGTCCAAACTTGATTCTATAATAAGCCCACTTTTGGCTGGAGGGAGGTGGCGGGAAAGAACAAAAAAAAAGGGGGGGGGAATAAGCCCACTTTTGAGATAACTAACCCACTGTTTTTTTTTTAATTTAATTTTTTTTTTTTTGAGACAGAGACTCACTCTGTCACCGAGGCTGGAGTGCCATGCCGCCATCTTGGCTCACTGTAACCTTCACCTCCCAGGTTCAAGCAATTCTTATGCCTTAGCCTCCTGAGTAGCTAGAATAACAGGTGCATGTCACCATGCCCAGCTGATTTTTTTTAATTTTATTTTTGTATTTTTAGTAGAGATGGGGGTTTCACCATGTTGGCCAGGCTGGTCTCAAATGCCTGGCCTCAAGTAATCTGCCTGCCTTGGCCTCCCAAAGTTCTGGGATTACAGCCATGAGCCACTGTGTCCAACCTGGAGATAACTAACCTACTGTTTATGATATTAATCCATTCATGAGGGCAGAGCCCTCATGACCTAATAACCTCTTGTTAGGCCCCAGCTTCCAACACTTTTGCATTGGGATTACGTTTCCAACATGTGAACTTTGGGGGACACATTTAAACCATAGCAGTGCTATTTTAGGGAAAAGTAGCTGCATGTGTATTGAAAATGTCAGCCAGGTATGGAGGCTCACACCTGTAATACCATCACTTTGGGAGGTTGAAGTAGAAGGACTGCTTGAGCCCAAGAGTTTGAGACCAGCCTGGGCAACACACAGAGACCTTGTCTCCACAAAATGTAAAAATGATCCAGAGAGGCAGCACACTCCTGTAGTCCCAGCTACTCCAGAGGCTGAGGTGGGAGGCTCATGTGAGTGTGGGAGAGGAGGCTGCAGTGAGCCATGATCATGCTACTGTGCTCCAGCCTGGGTAATACAGTGAGACCTTGTCTCAAAAAAGAAAAAAAAAAGATAAAAAAGAAAATGTTTCTGTGCTATTGGAGTCAGCCTTAGTGCAAGAACATGAGTTAAGTGTGTTTTTAATAATGGAAGGAGCTCCAATTAAGATAGGATTTGGACAACTTCGGGGAAGTTTGGTTTACGGTGGGAAAGGACACCGTGACCTCAGAGTTGCTGTCTTGGGTCTTTTCCATCCCAGGCCTTCACCTTGCCAGGTTCATTTCTTCTCCCTGTACTCTAAGCACTTTCAGTTGTGGACACTCTCTCTTGGCTCTGAACTCGGATAAATGCTACTTTGTTAGCTAATAGTACCACTGATTATATTAATGAGTAATAGCTAATTAGTCATAATACTGTAATACAATGGAGGCTTCCTTTACCTCAGCAGCTCTAGGTCTCAAGCACACACATCCCCTTCCCTATTCCTGGCCACAGGACAGGTGAGGCTCTAAATCTGTTTTTCTGAGCACCCTGGCAACCTCTAAACTGTTCCAGTTATTAACTGTCCCATTCATATGGCGAATGACCACTGCTGCTTCTATGCTGCCAATCTGATTTCTGTCTTCCGTCACTCCCACTGCCCTCCAGGAACAAGGAGGTCAGCGCTCGTCAAGCTTTTATTCAAAGTCTCTTTTACTTCCAAATCTCACGTCGACCCACTTTTCTACTTCGGCCCCTTTCTTCACTTTACCTTTCCCCCATCCTTATCCGCGCCTATTTCGTGGAACCCCACAGCACCCCGTGCTACAGCCCCCCGCACTGTTCGCTTGGGCTTCCTTTCAGCAACCACGCCCCCCGACCGATAGAGAGCGCCGCGCATGCGCAGCTCTCGCCTTTACCTGGGCGCCTGGGAGTGGGCGGAGTGGGAGAGGGCGGGGGTGGCGCGGGGAGCTGGCGGTTATCTGGGCGGCGGAGCGCTCATACTGTGGCAGGAGGCCGAAAAGGTGCGCCCGGGCCGGCCCGAGGGCTGCGCATGCGCGCCGCCGCTCTCAGCGGCCGGGATGCCGAGGGGGCGGGCGGAGGGAGGTGTCGGGATCCCTGTTGGGCGGGGGGGCTGGCGAGGGAAGGGACCGCGGGCGCGCGCGCGCGCGCGTCCTCGCTGTCGCTCGCCTCCCTCCCTGCCCCCTCCGGCACACACATCCACACACGCACACCCCCTCCCCTGCCGCCCGCCCAGCGCTGCCCGCCCCGCCGGCCCCGCTCGCCCTCGCGCGCTCGGAAGGGAGTCGCGAGACGTCGGAGCGACGGCCACGTAGCGCTGCGGCGGCGACGGCAGCAACCGAGGCCGGGTCTGAGGAGCGGCCCTGAGGACAGACGTTGGGCAGGGGGGAGGGGCCGGCCCAGCCGGCGGTTGTGACTCGAGCGCCGCGGCTGCAGGCCCCCGCCGCAGGGATGGACCGCCGAGGCGGCGGCCGGGGCGGCGGAGGCGGAGGCGGCCGGCCCGGGTGAGTAAGGGCCCCTTCCCCCACGCACTCGCCACCGCAGCTGCGGCGCCCCCAGCAGCCCTTCCTCTCCGCCGCCCGCCGGGCCGGCCCGGGCTCCGGGGGCCGGCGTAACCCTTCGCCGAGGCAGCTGCGTGCGCTAGGCCGGAGCAGCCCCCATCCGGCGGGGAGGCCCCGGGCGCTGCGCCCCTTGGGCACCTAGCTTGGGCCGGGGACGCCCGGTTTCTGGCCTTTCGCGCCCTCCCTCCCGGACCCGGGCTTGGCTGCAGTTTTGCAGCGGATCCGCTCGCCCCGAGGCCTGAGGGGAGGTTGGGTCAGCACGGGTTAGCGGGCCTAGAGGAGGTTTGCACCGGTCCTCCTGCAAGCGTTCTCCTGCCCTGCAGCTGGTGGCTTGCACCCACTGCCTCCTCCGCCCTGCGGTTGCACCCAAACCTCCAACCCCGGGAGTATTGTGCCACTAGCAGATAAAATGCATCTGATGTACACCCGCCACCGGCAGCCCCACGCTCACCCCAGTGGGTAATGCAGACCTTTCTCCACCCCCACCTCCTCCTCCCCTCCAATCAGGCTCTGCTGAAGATTCTTAGATACGAGATACCAAAGGTAGTGACACCCCCTTTACATCTCCACGTAACATGTTCATTGTCCAGGGATGTCTCCCGTAGAAATGATAAATGCCCCTGCCTCACCTCGAAGTCTGTCTTCAGGATTCGAGACCTTCTCTGAAAAGGTCCAGCTTTGATCACATCTAATGCATCCCTCCCCCACAACACACAGACACACTCATACACTCACTTCCTGATTGCGGAGCAGCCCCTGTCACCGCGGATCCATTGTCAGAAATGGCTTGTGCCAATCAAAGGAATGTGTTTGTGTCTTTGGAGAAGAGTGCTTTCCACAGCCACGTTCTCGGGGTGTTCCTGCGTGAGTCTGTCTTTGCCCCCAGATTGTCCCCGTGTTCAAGCATCATTATCATAGTGTTTCTCTTGTATGCATCTCCCTTGGACCCTCAGGAACACCTGAGTAATGCTTTTTCCCAGTTAATTAGATATGGTGTGTGCGAGTTTCACCTATTTTGTTGTAATGTTTGGCATCTATGGTGAAGGCATAGTGCATTTGTAGGGTAGTATTCAGGAAAGAATGTGTGTGTGTTTTTTTTTTCCAGAGGATGGCCAGGCCCGTATTGTTCTGGGAATGGCAACTAGCACATGCTTTGTTGACAACATGTGTGTGCTTAGGGACTGAGGAGCTGCTGTTGCTGGGATGTGTGGTGTCTGAGCTGAATACAGGCGATGTTGCCGAGTGGAGCTGCTTTGTGAGTGGGGCTTGACACTGATTGTCAGTGGTGGCAGGCAGATTGGTTGTTTATATCAGGACCGTCCACAGTATTCAGATAGATACTATTTTTAGTGTAATTTTGTTTAAACTATTCACTAAGTTTTAGTGATCCTGGAACTGTCTTCTTCAGGGGTTGGTAATCTTTGTTTGGGGCCATGGAAGACTTTAGAGCCGTCTTCTCCATTAAATAACCACATAATTTTGTATGCCACTAAGTCAACTTGAAGCTGGTCCTGGGACTTCAGGTTAAGCTCTATGTTATGCAAAAGTGAAAGGAACCTGAGTTGTGTGTTTTGTTTAGTTGGTTAGTTTTTTTTAAAGGATTAGAATTGTCTGGCCCTGAGCAATAAACAGCAAAGTAGCTTATGCATGTAACCTTGTGTTTTGTTCTTTGGATAGGATAAATTAGGTATTTGTAAATTATTTCCTTGTCTTCCTGTAAAAAGGAAAGGTATGTGAGAGTCTTTCAGAAAAAGTTAAAACTAGAGTCAAAATAATTTTTTTCGACTCGATCAATTGGTAATGTATGTTCCTGGAACCAGATTCTAAATGTAGCCAATTTCAACAGCAAAGTCCAAGGTCTTTTTTATAATGCCTATACTGAATCTTTATGTGTTGGCTGAAATTGATCTGATCTCTTAAAAGAAGGCTATATCATTCTCCTAGTGGTGTACCTGCCCCATAAAAAGGATTTTTTTTTCCCAGCATTGTTAACTGTGATTTCATGTCTTAATGGCGATAGTGCCATCAAAATCATTCATTTTGAAATTTTGTTTTAATGGAAGGATTTTAGTTGTAGTTAGGGAATTCAGCCTCCATATTTGGAATCTGGAACCGAGGATGAACTTTGCGCCATACGATTAATAAGCAGGTGATAAATATCAGCTATTTTTGTTTAAATTGCTCTGCACCCAGCTTTTGCCTTTTGGTCGTATTGCAATCAAGAGATATTATTCCAGCTTGTGATGGTGGTGAGATTGGTAGTTACTTTAAGCACAGTCCTGGCTCTCTAGGAGCTTATGATTCTGACATTATTTTTCAGTTAAAGAATCCTTTGAGACCTTAATATTTTTTGCATTGGGGGTGTGGGTTCTGAGAAGCTAAGGAATTTATGATATTAACTGGCACTTTGGAAGGCAAGGGAGCCTTGAAATACTGCATGAAACCTGTTCCATACACCTGAGGAATAGCATTTATAAGTTTGAAAGCATGCTGAAGTTGCAAATATTGCGTTTTTTATTATCTCATAAACATGCTGGCAGTGCCGTATATTACAAGTTATATTTTTCCTTCATGTCACGCCCTAAGTTTTACTGTCAGAAATTATTTGCCTATCCTAAACCCAAACCATTTCAAAGTTGCAAATAGTTTATTTTTCTTTGCAAATACTTTGTAGTATACTGACCATTAAAACCTCAGAGGACAGTGTGCTTCCGTGATTTAGTATTGCGGAACCTCTTCTAACCAGTCACTTACCTAGTTAAACACCCACACACCATAGAGCAGCTGATCATATAACACATAGGGCTGTGAGAACAGCATTCCTTCCCTGCCAGATTCAGAACTTGGAAGATGGAAAACAATTGCATAGCAGTGAAACACTTAAGGAGCAGTGGTGCCAGCAGCTCACTCTCATTAATACAAACAGCTTGCTTTAGTTTCTCCAACACTCTTCTTCAGATACCCTTCCCTTAGGAGGTTTCAGATCAGCAGCTCCTACTCAAGGGAAGCAGCACCTACCTTCTGCAACTGTGGTCTCAAGATCTGATTTGTGACACCCAGAGCTGTTTCCATTTTTGTTCTAAGTATGGGAAGTAATCTCGTAGTGTGGTAAGAAAATACTTTTCAAGTCTGTAGGAAAAAAAAGTTGATTAGTAATGCTACTGATACGATTTTGTTTTTGAATGTCTGCAGCCTAGCGAAGAGGTAAACTATAATGTGAACTTTTGAAGTCATCCTTTTCTTGAGGGTTTCAGATAGTTTTACCCAAAAAAATGTGAATATACTTTTGAGTTTCATTTCCTTTGTTATAAAAAAGTCAGTTTCGAGACAATCAAAAAGAAAAAACACACACACAAAGTGGATTGTCTTGTATTTTGAACCATCGCCTTTAAAACTAGTTACTCTAAAGGATGTGACTGCGTCTCCTTATTGTGAAGTCTTGGGTCTTGTCCTACCATTTTAGGTGTGATATTTTTCTCAGCTGCTGTCATCATTTCAGACAATCACACTTCAATTTACTTCGATAGAGGTGAACTGGTGCTGTGGTTAGTGACTTTCGCTGAAGAAGGCTCAGGGAAATGGTGCTTTGGAGCCAGGCAGAACTGGATTTAAAACCCCTACTCCACCATTTACTGGCGTTACGATATTGAACAAGTCACCTTGACCTCTCTGGCCTCAGTTTCCTCATCAGTGGAATGGGATTTGTTATGAGGGTTAGAGATCATTTATGCAAATGCCTAGCAGGTCCTGGCATATGATCATATTAGAGACTCAATACATGTTAGGATACGGAGCATGTTGGAGTAAAACTACAGATCATTCTGTCTTATGACAAGATTTAGAAGTCTGGCACTGTTATCTGTGTTTTTTCATTTGTGCAGATTTGGGATGAAAAAATTGCAAATATTTGACTTGGAGCATACCTAAGTCTCGCAGGTGCGATGTGCTTATTGGAACTTTGATTTGTTGCTCTATGGTTGGCTGAACTTGGTGGGGACAATAAAATCTGGCTCCAAATTCTACAGTGCTAACCTACAGGCTGTGCTTGTTTTAAACCTATTCAGAGCTTATGTGGTGAAAGGGGTGTTTTAGGACATTAACGTGTCTCAATGGGTTCTGTGTCCAGAGTTGAATCACATGCAAACCCTTGTATAAATTTTCATGGTTAATGCAAGCAGTAAAGTGCTTTGTAGAATCAGTGGTGATATCAGTTGCTTATTTTAGTTAATCTGTTTGTTTATATAGTAGTTATGTTTGATTTTTAAAAATACTAGTGAACATTTTATCTAATACAATTTCCATTGCTCTTCCGAGATTTTGATTATAAACTGCTATAGGGGCTATAGGTTTGAGCACTTTATGAATTTTTACTTTGGCAAAGGGAGGAAAGAAAAGTGAGGTCCCTTTACCTGTCAGATTTTATGAACTCTGTTTTAGGCCTGTAGATTGTATGTGTAGTTCCTTCTTTTGTTTTTTAACCAAAACGGCAGCTTTATGGTAAAGATGACATTATCTTTTTCATTTTTTAAACATAGTTCAAGTGATTACCTTGAAAAGTAAATTAATTAGGACCGTGTATACAGTTTTATTCCGTGCATACAGCTTTTAAAATAGGATTTTTTTTTTTTGTCATTTCTTAGACACCTCAGTCTAATTAAAATAGGATTTCTTAGGTTACTATAGAATTAAATTGTTCTGTCATTTTTGCAGGATAGCATTGTAGTAAGTCTGTGAGCCCACAAAAGCTACCTAGAGACTTTTCAGATAAGGTAGGCACATTAGTAATACAGTAGGATTTACCTCAGGACAATCTGCTAATCCTTATTTTCTTTGATTATTGAGCACCTACAGGCTTGCCCATCAGTGGACCCAGTCACTAGTATTGGATTGCTGATAAAGAGGGATTGGCATAATAAGGTGGTCTTTGACTCACCTTAGATTTT